CAGCCAGTGAGAAGCTAGTCATGCGTCTCCATCTGCTATCTCTGTGTGTATGCATATGAATAAGGGCAACTTAAGGTTGGATTTTCTGAGCTTTACATGCATGTGTTTGTTTGTTTTTTGTTTTTTTGTTTTTTTGGAGGGAGAAGAGGATGAAGATTTTTTGGCTATTGCCAAGGCGATGGAGGAGATTGTAGATGACCCAGTGGACTGTTACTGGCTAATTAGGTGTTTTGTCAACCAGTTCAACCACAAGTTTGGCGATTCTATACCTCATCTGGTTTGTGTGTATTATGTTGAATTAGCGCTTCTGAATCATCTCATGTGAATAAGCCTGTCACACTTACTCAGTTAAAATATTAATTAAAATTTACCTTCATTATGAATCAGCACTGATTAGCTATCAGTTTACGTAATGATAATGCATTTTTAAAATTCTCCAACTGGCCTGTCTTATAGACTTTTAAAGATGTATTTTAAAGGCTTTCTAGTTTAGCTTTTCCGGTAAAATATTTTGGATTTTTTAAAAGGATATGCATGGTTTGTTACTGATCAATAAACCATATGCATGATTAAAAAATTCTGATAAGTTATTGTCAAAATAATCTGTATATTACTTGATTGCTAATAGTGACAGCCCTAAGCCCAGTGTAAACTTTTGCCTTGTGAATTTCACCTTTGGCAAACTTTGCTACCAGCAGTTTTTCCATAGCATTAAGGTTTGTGGTACTTGCACAGTTCTAATCCATTCTCTGCTTGTTGCAGCCCAAGAGTCTGGAGCATTTCCTCTCCCAAGAGGACAGTCGTCTGCTGGCCCACCTGAAAGCTACAGGCAGTCTGGTGATGTTGCCCTACTCTCTTTGGTTTAGACGCTGTTTTGCAGGCTGCCTGCCAGAGTCCAGTCTACAGAGGTGAGTGCAGATACGTTTCCTAGAAATTAGGCTTTGTTCACACAGCAGATAAAAGTGGCCCAAATCCGATCTTTTTCTCCGTATGTGACACAGATGGGTCATCTGTGTGTCAGTGTGAACAGCAAAAAAAAACGCATTGAATCTGACATTATCAATTCTGATTTGAGACGATTTCATATGTGGTACTGAAATCCGATACGTATCCGATATGCGGCAATGCGTTTACACTGCTCCAGCATGTCGACGCACCGCAATGTATCACATTAACATTTAATGGAAAGCGTCCGTTTCGCCAGATGTGGCCGTGGTGCATGATGGGTCTGGCGCGTCGAGTCTGGGGAATGCGTTGCAAGCTAAACCTTATGCAGATTAATCCGGCCAACACGATGCGTCTATCCAATCATAAGATAGCTGGTGTTTGCATGATGTGTTCACAATGCAATGTATGAAACATTCGTTCCGTACATGGAGTGGAACATGGAGGAAAAGCTCCAAACAATTTTAAACCTAGACATTTATTTACACGAAAATATATATATATATATATATATATATATATATATGTATGTATGTATGTATATGTATATGTGTGTGTGTGTGTGTGTGTAATTGATAACATACTAATTTGTTTTTTGATTATTAGAAAATCATTACATTTATTGATTAAAATTTGACTTAGCAGGACGTGATTTAATTGGATGATGCAGGGAATGTCTTAATGGCCACATGCGGCCAGCTGAAGAGGGGGAGTGCGTGCGTTCACGTCCGTCGGCGCGCCGGAACAGTGTAAATGCAGCGTCAGTCTGATTGACATACATGTTGGTATGTATATCTATGGTCTGAACAGCCAGATTGGAATCCATGCGGCTTTTATGTCAATTCAGCTCGACATTCGTCGTAATTTTTCACGCTGCTGAGACTTAAACATTTAGGCTGATGTTTCTGTACCAAAAAATTATTAGAGACTTATCGCAACCGCTCCGTGTTCGAAGAGATTTTCAACGAACGAGGAGAACGAGGCTGCAGCGTCAAAGAAAAGTTTAAAGAATCCGAGGACAGGAACCAATGAAGTGACCGTGGCCGAATTACGTTGCTCTTTTAAAAGATCATATGAACAGCCAAACAAAAAAATCGGATTTGGTGAGAAAATCAAATTTTGGCCACTTTTACCTGCTGTGTAAACATAGCCTTAGCCTGAAGCTGAAATGAGTTCTTACTTCCTATATAGGTCATGACATAGTTCTACAGCTTCTACAGCTATTAAGGATTCAGAATTTGTTTGCATTGGTTCGCAACACTGGTTCTGGGGTATTGCTGCCCTGGCATATTGTTGTGTTTTCCCTGCTCTAATACCTGATACCTAATTAGCTCATTAACAAGCTCTTCCTGAATTAAATCAGGTGTTAGAGCAGGGAAAACACAAAAATGTGCAGGACAGGGCTACTCTGGGACCTGGGTTGTGAACCACTGATCCACATTCCTGATGCTCTACCCTAATCAATGATATTGATATTAACTCTAATCAAGCAACTAATGAAGAGTTTTTAGAGAACCTTGATACCAGAGCAAGGCTTTTTGGGATGAGACTGGACAAAGTCTCTGCTGTAGGGCAGTTCTCCACGAACTGGATTAAAGATATCTAGTCTGCACCTACTCCAACATGGCCTATTATTAATGTAATTTTTTTGTGACATTATATTTGTTTTGTTGTATGAATGCCTTTATTTACTTTTAAGGAAAAGCAGTTCTTGTGTGTTTCTCCATACTGAAATGAGTGCTGATTGGCTTTCTTTGTTCCTTGTCCTGCTTCGATGATGTGTGATTGGTCAACAGGGTGTGGGACAAAGTGATCAGTGGCTCCTGTAAAATCTTAGTTTTCGTGGCAGTGGAATTTCTGCTGAGCTACAAAATAATGCTCATGGGAATGAGTCGACCAGAAGCGATAGTAAACTTCCTTAGCAATGTAAGAGCATACACATGCATACAGCGTACACAATACTGAACAATACAAGCACTCAAGGCAAAATGCAGTGAGGGGAAACAAGTAATCAGACACTTTTTTGTGTTTGTTATTTAATATACTTCCAGTGCATATATCCACTTTACACACAAGTCTTTAGACTTTGTACATTATAAGCATATATTGTGTTTATAAGCATTAAACAAAGATGTTTTTAATAAAATCAATACCTTTTGACAGTATTGCGGTTCAATTTTGGCCCATTCTCCTTGGCAAACTGTCTTTAATTTCCCAGAATTAGGAAGGGTCCCTCTGATGGATTTGCAATTTCAAAATCCTCCATAAATTTTCAGTGGGATTCAAGGAGATTTGCTAATCTAAGCAAGTGTCTTCACCTTCTATTTTTTTGGAAATCAGTCTGGAGTTATTTTGGCTGTATATTGAGTTGTCTTTTTGAAATTTTAAGACAATTTTTTTTGTTTTCTTCTATGACATGTAATGCCCCAGTACCATTTGCAGAGAAGTATCCCAATATCACAGTGCTCTTGCCTTCACACTGCACTGTGGGTATGGTGTTCTTGGGATCATATGTGCAAGTTCTCCAAACATCATGAACTGAATTATTGCCGAAGACTTCGATTCTTATTTTATCTGACCGTCTGATTTGTTAAAATGTTTGTGTCTTAATTTGTTACATGCATCTCTGTTCTTCCTTTTTAGCAGATGAGTTACACATAAGCTATTGCAACAGAGATGACTTTGGTGCAGCTCATTGCTTATTGTTCTCTCTGCAACTTTTGTTCCTGCTGCTTTCTGGTTGTCCAGCAACTCTTTTCGAGGGACTGTTGGCCTCCCTCTTACCTTTCTTATCAGTAGTCTGAGAGCATGTTCTGAAATCTTGCATGGCCCCTCTTTTAGTGGACAGTTTGTTTTTCATTTCCAAATTATCAAACCAGTTGTATTAACAGGGTTGTTTAATATCTCTGCTTTGGCTCTGTAGCCCCTTCTATTCAAGGATTGTTTAATAATGTTGTCCCTGAGAACTTGCTGAAGCTCTTTCACCATGATTGTTACTTGTTGCATGACATCTTCCCAACCAATGGCAACGTCTTTTGACAAAAGGTGCCATTTGCACAAGAACAGTTTTTGCACTATTAATATCTAACCTGTTACTTTATGTGCCACTATGTAGGTATGTATTTGTGTAACAATGTTCTTGAACATGTTTGTTTATGCTTATAAATACATACCTTTTTGCTCATATTTATAAGTACAAAGTCAAAAGACACTGTCACTCTCATTGTGGATTTGTCCAAGTTATTTATGACCCTCTCAATACAAAAATATTAGCTCATGATATCTTCTGCAGGTGTTCCATCTGAGTGCTTTGTCACACACACACTCATAACCTTCAGCCTAACCAAAACTGTGAAATTCATATACTCCTTAATGAATGCACTTCCTTTAAATAATCTAATTTGCTATGCAAGCTGACAGTTTCATTGAATATTACATTCAGTTCAGTATCATAGCATTTCAGATAGTTGTCACAAATTAAAATTTAGTGAAATTACACAATTAACAAAATGCAAGTACTAAAAATTGCCATTGAGACAAATTGACAACCTTTGCTAGTGAATCCAACGATCATTATTTGGATTGCTTTGCTTGTAGGCCAACAATTTATATCCTAATATGAGTGCATGTACTAGTGTCTTCCCTCAATTGTCATACTGTAATAACTTTATTTGATTCCTGTATTTACTGTGCCTTTTTCTTCCCATGCAGATGCCGCAGGAGAACACAGATGCCATAGTGACCAAAGCCATTGATCTGTGGCACAAATACTGTGGGACTCCCATGCATTCTGTTTAATGCTTGTGGAAATGGAATATAGTACATGGGAACAGAGACGCTTCTGAGTAGTCCGTGATATTCTGTAGACTTATGGCTTTGTCAGTCCAGACAGCTGTTTTTTTCTGACCCACACAGAAGCAGTTATCTTCAGTACAGTTAAATAACATGAAACAGTCAGCTTTCAAGTAAGGTTTCAGTGTTAATCTCTACTGTAGAGGCACTGAAAGACATAAGATCAGAACAGCCCCAAACTTTCACTTACTTTAAATGTATCTTTTTTTTTAATAAGTTCTCTTTACATCAGAAACTGCATACATCATCCAGGGAGCAACAATATGTTAGAACAAGACATGCACCTCCTCCTTTCATGGATTCTCTCAGTCCCATAGCAGCAGAGGAGAGGAGCATTACAGCAAGACTGTAAACAAAACGCACCACTCTTAACATTACTTAACCCGCTCTTACTTTGACCCATATGGACGCTTGCTCTCACCAGTGCCTATTTAATGCTCTATATCAAAGTGGATTGAAATATTTAAGGGATGTAAAATATTTTCACAAACTGTATACCTTGACAAGTTTTGTGTGAATGAAAATCTAAAATAAAAATATTATTATGGTAAATTATTTTTGTCACAAACATTGGCGAGTCATTGTTTTTGCCTGGGTTAGGCAATGCCGCACCCTGTAAACAGAGCTGAGACAGACAGTGGGTGTGTTCCAAATGATACCTCACACCCTCTGTGGAGCACATCATTGGAGTGCCCAGCTTTAGCACGTGTCTACTACCAGAAACTTTCTCAAACAAAAAAAAAGCAGAAGTAAAAGGGCTGCAAACCAGAGAGTCCCTCAGTAGCAGCCTGACAGTTAAGACCAACAATGAAATTAAGACATGATGTGCATCAAAACTAGACGTTACTCAGACGAATTATTGCTCAGTCCTGTCAGTCAAACGGGAGATCTCCTTCATCATAGACAGAATGGTATGAAAGCATCCTATTCTTTTGTTTTTTTGTTTTCAGAAAAGGACATCAGTCATCACAGAGGTAAAATAAACTCCAGAGAGAGAGAAAATGTAAATAAAAGGCAGATAATATTCCAGGATGTAAGATAGTGTTTGATAGTGTTCTTCAACTTGTATTAAAGTTCCCTCATGTTTCTGTGTTGTTCCTGTTCACACATGTTGGATTATTCCCAGTACAGGGCCACGTGCACAGATTTACACCCACTTCCTTTCTATCTTCAAAGGTTGTTGGCACAGAATAAAATCACTCATATTTACGTGTACTGCCAGAGCACAATAGAACACTGAATTGAAACTTTCAGCCAGAGCATACAAACATACATACATCATGAGAGTCTGAACTGGTCAGTGAAGGCAGGTCAGGTTGTCTTGGGCTTTAGTGCTCTGGGGCTTTCACAAGCAGATCCATATCTTCTCCTGATCTCAGATCAGAATGGCAGCGCAGTCTCTGCATTTAGTCCCACTGTAGAACCCCTTTTATGGGCTGATCCCAGCACATTCCCAGACCAGAGACTCAGTACAACCCCAATGGGGAATTTGTGGTCATTGGTAATGCCCTGTGCTGCTGCTCAGCAGTCAGCACTATGGTCGGTGAAACCTGGAAACGGAGAGAAAACTGGTGAGCATATGTTTATGTGAGGGTTCTGTATGCACATGCATGTTTTAGCTCACTCACCTGGTTAGATGTCGACTTGACTCGTGCACCTCCATCTCTGTGCTTTTGAACTCGTTGAGCTCTTTCCTTATGGCAGCCTATAAGAAACACAAACATAAATAAAAACACTACATGGGTGGTCTGCAAGATTGTGCATGTGAGCATTTTTGTTTTACAAAATTATAAACCCAATTCTAAAAAATTGACTGCAGTTAAAATGCAAATAAAAATGTGTATTTGAACAAAATATAAAGTTAAATCTGATATAAAGTTTATCTGATTAGCTTCATTTTTTTTTTATAAATATACACTGATTCTGAAACTGATGTCTGCAACACATTGGGAAGGGACCATTTTAGACTAGGAACGTTGTGAAATGTTCAAAAAATATCTGGACTTGAACTCATCTGAAATGGACTGAGGCACGTTGGAAATATGTATTGTGGTCTGACGAGTCAACCTTTAAGATTGTTTATGGAAATAATGGATTCTGTGTTCTCTAAGCCAGAGGAAATAAGTACCATATTTGAAAACATAAGACACATTATTAAGCTCAAAATTTGGGTGATATTTAGCCAGGGATGTTATAAAGGCTTAAATCAGTAGTTGATAGTGCTAAAGCAACATGCCATTAGGCCAGCCACAATGGAAGAGTTAGAATTTTAACTTTTTTCCTCTGTATTCGATAACAACTGCTAACAGTTTTAAACTGATACACTGTTCAAAAACTGTTTACTTGTTAAATATTCAAATTTACTACTATTATCTATTTACAGTAACTTAATAAGCTATTTGCCTCTAACTTGGATCACCACTTTTCAAAGACATTCTGGATGTTAAATTAAGTTTTCATTCGGAGTGTTTCACATCTACAGCTCTTTTCATCATTCTGGACACATCTCAAGATTTTTGAAGTTTTACAGCTTCCAATAAATTAGCCGAAACTTATGAAGTATAGTTGTAGCATCATAACAGAATCGTTTTGTACTGTACATGTATCTTCAATAAACTGGTTTCATATAATTGAAAACAGTGATTCCAAACTTTTTAATGGTGATTCCAAGCTTATGAACGGTACTGATACGATGATTATAAAGACTAAAGGTCAATAAAGACAATATTAAATAATGATATACACCTAATTTTCTGGCAGACATTGTGTCTGCTGTAAAAAATACTGCAAGGACCAATGCCCACTGCACTTCATACCTAATTCATTGCTCGTCCAATGAGAGCAGGGAAAATCCTTTGTTAGAATAGATTTTCCTTCCAATACAACTAATGCAATCACTGATAACGAATGGTCATGAAGGATGTCAGTAATGTACAGCTGACCTTGTCGGCAGCAGTAAGACGTGTCCAGGGTTTATCTGCCCGTCGGTCGTAGTCCTGAGCTTCAGCCACCTCCACATAATCACTGAACCGAATGAGGATCTTTGCCTCCCTCAGCTCCTCTACTGTAGGCCTCTGACTTAACTGCAGAAGGGCAGAGAGATGCGATCAAAGAAACCCGTACTGTTCTTATTCAAGCAACACACAGTCCTTTAGAGTATCTCAGCAACATACGATGAAGGCACACAAACCGCAGCATGTTGCATAACACAAATTTAATCTGTTCCATAAACTCAGACAACCATACAGGTTACCATGGAAACTATCAAAAGCCCAGTCAGCTCTTGTGACAAATCCTCTTCTCGACTTACCTTTCGTGACAGTCTTTTCTTGAGCTCTCTCTTCTCCTCAAGCTCCTCCTGCTCATTACGTGCTACCACAGAAAGAGAAAAAGGCGAGATATTTTTTTTCAATTCATCTACCTGATGTATTGTCTATGTACTGTCTGTGTCTGGGACTGAGAACCATGGCTAACTTTTTGTTTTCCTTGCCTCTTCCTTGTTTATTGAAGGGACTGACAATCAGGAATATTTAGGTCACAATCATTAAATTTTAAACAATCAACTGGTACATAAACAATTGTGATTAATAATTTGTCTTTTTTCTACTGTACGCATCTATTAACGTCCAAGCCTAAAATGACCAAATTGGCTGATTAGCTATCTTGCTTTCTAGCTGTCAATACTCAGTAGTTCTCAACTGACATCAGAAACAGCTCAAGCTCAAATAAACAAATATTACACAATGCTGTCCTCTAAAGGGGTCATAGCAACCAAGTCATAAGTTAAACTTTTGTAGTTTTCATAAGTCCCTTTGTCAGAGCCATAATCAAGTCATACATTTAAATATTACAAACTATTCACCAAAAGGGTAGTTTTATGTTTTATTCAATAAATCAAGAAAATGGACAATCTAATTACATTATTTTTGTCAGGTTTTCTGCCTTGTGATTTGATCTACACTTTTGAAATATTATAAATTCTTGATATTAATTTTATGATCATCTTATTCTCAATGTCATACAGCTTACTCAGAAGTTTTAGAATGTTCTACTCTTGTTCATCATTCTGTTCACCATTACACATTGTATACGTCTTTTTTATTACTTAAAACACTGATTCTCTGACACTCGTCTTGCAACAAAAATCTATACAGTTTAGAAGATTTTGTTAAGTTGAGAGTATGTCTGTATATAGCTATGTGTGTGCATGAGTGTTTTACTCACGTTTTAGGATATTTCGTTGCTCTAGTTCCTCTGCAGTTGGTCTCTGGCTAAGCCTCCTAAAAACAGATGAAACATGTAAAAAACACACCCAAATGCTCATGCCAAAATTTGCAGCACGTTGCAATTAATATGTCTGTGTCTAGATGAATGTGTATATGTATTAGAGATGTGGATGCTGACTAATTTGCATTGTTGAATACCCATAAGAGAATGAATGGATATCAGATAAACTGTAGAGAAGCAAAAACACAAAAAGCAAAAGGTGACAGAACTGCACGATATTGTAGCATCACTCATAACAATACATAGGTTTCGTGTTGGATGTGTAGCATAATGGAGGCTGCTTCAGATGAGCTAATAAGCTGAAACTACAGCTAACCAGTTCAACACTGCTTATGGAGATTAATTGTCTTCTACAGTGGACGATGAGCCAATACATTTGTTAGTCAGAAAAAGTTATTTTAACTGTTTCTAGACCTAACGTTAACATCAGCCTTGCCTACAAGCAAGGCGCTACAAGCCAAGCTACCTCTGTCTTTTCAGTCACATTCTTAACAACGTGTCCTTGACCACATGTTCACATCAAGGCACTTGTGTTTCGGAGCAGCAAAGCTAAACCATAACATAATTACTTGCATATGAGCACATTTTTTTACAGTTCTGTTAAAACATAAACTCGTCGTTTCACTGATGGTCTGTCCATTTCTCCATCTCACTACCATGCAACGACTACACAAATAAACACACACACATTATCTATGCTGCCTATCCTCCTGGGCTGTGGGGGTTGCTGGAACCTATCCCAGCACTTATTGGGTGGAAAGCAGGAAACACCCTGGACAGGTCGCCAGTCCATCACAGACTACCCGAAAAGTGTTGGTCAGTATTTAAATACTGGCACTACGAATAGTTAACTAGGTACTTGTGTACCTGTGCACATCCCTAGTATGTATGTGTGTTTGAGCATGATCTTACCGTGTGAGTTTAGTGCCAATTTGCTGTCTGGACTCTAGCCTCTCCTGGTCAGTCATCATGGGCAGAATGTTCTTGTCCTCCAGTTCTCTCTTAGATGGCCGGTTGCTCAGTTTTATTGCCAGTGAGTCTTTCCTAAGGATCCTCAGAGCTAGGGTGCCTGCTCATACATACACACAGAACAGAGAAAGGTGGTAAACCATATTCTGCTGCCCGAACATCACTCTCCTTTGTTTAGCCCAAATGTGGCCAAATGAAACAAGGAGACTTCGAGATACTACACAGTACACAAATACCATTTTCACCGCCTACAGTTTAAGCCCTGTTAAAGCTGGATTAGTATTAGCTGGGGAGGTGATTACTGATGAGATCTGTGACTTTGTCTTTGTCCAAACCTAAAATTAACATTAGCCTTGAGCGATCTGATCACAAGCGGACAATGAGATGTATAATCAGGTGTTTACTCGAATCTCAAATGTGTTTTCAATGACCACTTGTGATTGGATTTAGTGACTGGAGAAAGGCTGAAAGATGCATGGATTGTTTCGACTGTTTAGACGTCCAACAAGTAATAATTCTGGAGTGAGTAACCTTATCCTAGAGGAAAGAAAAATCTTAACATCTCTGTAGTTTCTCCTACACAATGAGATCAGATGGAAAGACAAAGGAGACTTTTGCTTATGTCTCCTGCTGCTCAGACATTTCTCCTGAGAAAAAGAGCAAAGTAATCTTGTGTCTTCTCGAGTTTTAGTAGAGATCTTAATAAAGTCACATACTGTGTCAAAATACTAACCCTCATCTTTATCTGCAGTTAAACTATCCTCTCTCTTTTATCCCTCTTGTATCTCATGTCTCCTTTTTGTCTAATGCTACTTCTCTTAAAGAATTTTAGGAGATTTAGGCTTGGATATTACTGTATTTATCCAAAAACAGACAACAGACACATACTTGTAAACAAAGAGTCATCATCTTCTTCCTCATCTTCGTCCTCGTCTTCATGCGTGTGTGTGCTGTACATATGTGCGCTGGGCACGAGGGTGTTGGTGGAGTGAGCAGTGAGTGTGTGTGCATTGGGCAGAGGTGTGTGTATTGCGTCTCGGTTCTCCTTCTCCTCTTCGCTCTCCATCAGCACTGATGGTACAGCCTGTAGCACCGAGCTTCACACCACAGAGCAGAGGGGTCAGAAACACACACATACACTAACTTACACAAACATATTTACAAACAAACACACTCACCTCTCCAGTCTCTGCACAGTGAGCGCAAGTGTTTTGTTGAGTTCTTCGATGATGCTGCTGGGGGGATGGAGGGAGAGAGGGAGTGTAGCATACTGCAGAGGATGTGAGTGTGTGAGAGAGTGTGTGTGCAGGTGTGTGTTCAGGGGCTGGAGGCATTTGAGCTGAAAAGAAGATGCCGGCTCACAGATCATCACTTTTTTTGGAGGGAGCGGTGGTGAGAGTTTTCCTATCGTGTCTAGAGGGGAAAACAGATAGAGGTCAAGTGTTAAGCAACTGTGTCAGAAAAAGAGAGAGATGGAAGGATCAAGAAATATTCTGCATTCTGTATTCTATATATTTGTATTTTAATTTCCTTTAAGTTCACTTAAAATCTGTATGTATATGCATGTATATAATAACTGTAATACAATGCTACTATTCTAAAGTTTCAAACAATTTGGAGGAATCTGTAAAAATTAAGAACTGTTAGATTATGATGATGAATGGCTAATTCTAATAATATAAATTGGTTACCACAGCACACATTTCACATTTCTGCACTGACAACACAGACTTCATCAGCACTTCAGTCGGAAAAAAAAACATCAGTGGAAAATGCCTGAACTAATTTCACTAACTTAGTGATGTTTGACAATGCAGTTAGCAGTTACCAAAAACAGATAAGTGATGGTATTTCAAATTTTGAAGGCCTCAAATTTCTGTTCCACATCTTCAATAATAGCTTAGAGGATAAAAACTCCTATCTGAATGAACAAAGTTGATAGACTTGTGTTGAAGTAACAGAAAGACAAAAACTAAACCTTTCTGTAGTGTGTTGAGCTGTTAGTCTGCTGAAATTTTAGCTAAGTTTACTAAGCTGGGATGTTAATGTAAATTTAGACAAACGATTATCATCTGCAGAATTATTGCGATAAACAATTTTACTGTGGTCCAAATTCAGTCACAAATACCACATGAGTGTATATCTTATGCAGCCCTTGATGGTAATACAATTACGGCATGAATGCTAACTCTAGCTTCTAGTATTACTTAATCATTTATAATGACAATTGGTATGTAAAGATGGTAACAGTGGCTCTTCACGTTTGTTTGGTTGGAAGCCAAAACACTGCCCTCTCCCTGACAAGCTTGTTCGTTTGACATTCTTTATTCTGGAGTTTCTTTGTTTTATTTGCATGTATCATAGAATTACTTGTCAGACTGAAAATCTGTTATAATGTTAGAATGACTGTGCATAAAGAACAGTTAAATTAAGATGAAGCAATGTGAACCATAGCATGTGAAATAAAAAGAAAAATTATTTGCATAATATAGGCATTTATTTAAATGATCACAGTATTTGATAATATCAATTAACACCCCAAGTCTTATGTTTAGATATTAAATCAAACCCCTTTATTACAAAACAAGAAAAATGCAGTTTTCCATAATTTAGACCCTTTAAGACATTATGTGTTTGCCTCAGGAGATGGAAATGACCCTGAAAATGTTTGCTTGTGTGTACGTGTACCTGTTAAATGGTTGGGTATTCTGCTGTAAGGTTTAGGAGGTAAGGCAGGTGGCTGCTTCAGCACTGCTGGTTTGGTATGCGGCACGTCCAAAATGTCACTTGGCAATGGCATGGGCTTCACAGGGGGTGTGGCTGGAGATGGCTTGGAGGTGTGGCCTGTAAGACACACCCCTGTTTCCCCTGGCATTGAATTTTCTGGACCAGTAAAGACAAAAACAGGACTAGGATTTAATATATCGGGTAATCAAAAAAAAAAAAGATTCAGCTTGGCAGACATCTGATGGGTATTTATCTGATGGGCTGAATACCTGTTCCACTCCCACTGGCCTCCTGGGTCTCAGATACAGGACTAATGACTGTAAGTCTGTCCATGTCAGGCACACAAACATGACCACTGTCTACTGTTACCTCCTCTAAAAAAAAGAGAGAACAAGAGAAAAACACAACTGATCATACAACAGCTGAGAAAAATATTCCTCATGCTTATTAGATTTTCTGTTTAGTATTTCAACATATCACTATTATCATACGAGGTTTTTTGTGGCGATATGTATAAGTGTCTACCTTTTTCGTTAACCTCCTTTAAGACGCCTCTCTTTATCAGTTCCTCTCTGCTCTGCCGTGTGGACATCTTTCTCTCCAAGACTAAAGAAATGACAACAGCCATCTGTCACACATTAGCAGATGCCAACAGAGAGTAAGAATCCTCATCTGCTATTTGTGGCATATGAATGTGTGTGCATGTGTGTGTGTGTGTGTGTGTGTGTGTGTGTGTGTGTGTGTACCTGCAGATGTCTGTTTGAACTTGTCACTCTTCTTCTTCCTCCATTTCCATGGCTTGAAGAGTCGCCCCAGGGTTGCCAGCTTACTCCTCCTCCGAATGGGCGGAGTGTGGGTGCCTGGCACCAGTGAATCAGAGCGCATTGCAGCCAGTCGCTCAGCCCCCTCCGCTGTAAAGAAGAAAAATAAACTCATCAGAAAATGGCCAATGTGCAAGAGCAAACTTACGGAAGAAGTCATTACAAAAAGTCAAAAAATATTCTGAAGTGCACAGAAGGCAGTCCTGCCCTACACACTTCAAAGAACACTAAACAATGTAAAAATTCAAGCACTCCATATTAAGTCACAGAAAATCAAGAAGTATTACAACTTACTACACAATGTAAGTTTTGGGGACGTTTGGGGTCCTCTTTGAGGTCGATATGTGTAATTGCGCGCAACATTTTATGATGCTGGTTGCGTTTAGACCCCTTTCCCATACAGATGAATCTGATGATTGCTGATTGATGAATTATGTAAGCAGACTACACATCTCCATTACAAATGAAAATGTAAACAGTAGAGGAAAGGTTACAACTCCAAGGCAGGGTTAATTAAAATAGATGGAAGGGCCAGTTATAAGTCTCTACAAAGTCTGATGAATCAATGCAAAATAAAAATAATTAAGTGAGGATCTATGTTGTTTAAACCAGATGAGCTTTCCAACCTAAATAGAGAAAAATATATTCATCAAAATAAATTTAATTATGACAAAACAAAATAATATCAGCACAATAATACTGACATGTATTTTATTCACATTACATCTATGGTAATTTTTTTGATGAACCTGTGGTCAAAAAATTACTTCTTTGAATTTGTGTGGGGGATATGGACTTCTCCCATTGTTTATTTTAGGGGTCTTATTTGTAACACTGTATTGCATCTAACCTCATTGTGTGGAAGCTGTACTTTAGGTGGGCTAGCTCTCACTTTGAGCTGTTTACATACTTCAAAAATGGTGCATACTACAGCCATCAAGACGGTGATTAAAATGATACAGGAGGAAATTCTGTGACTTGAACAACTCAGTAATCAAAAAACACAATGAAAAAAATCTATGTTACAGGTACTTCTAGATTCTTTATGGACTCAGTATGGACTCTTTATAGACTCCAAGGTAAATCTTGTCAAATTCATAGATGACGTTGCTATGGGAATATAAGAACATAACTAATAGCATGTTTTACTTGAACTTGTTTAACTGCATAAAATGTGCTACATTTTATCCACATTATTTTGTGTCCTGCTCTTCCATACAATCCATGAATTTAGATAATTTATTATTAGCAGTAGAAGTGGTGGTGCTATTTTATAGGAATAAGTGCTTTATTCTGTATATTCAAAGAGGCTGAGAGGCCCACAGACATCAGGCTACACAGAACCAAATATTCCAAGTCCTCACAAATGCAGCCTGTTAATAAAGATGATGAAATTTCCACTCGGAAAAGTTCAAATTAACGCGTCTGTCAGACGTTCCCAAATGGAAAAAACAGACATTAGGCTGTAAAACTACATGGACAAACGAGGGATTCAGTGCAGCGCACACAAACTCTTCTGCTCGGTCTTCATGGAGACCGAACCTAGCAACGAAACGTTTCTCAGCTGCTCGCTGTTCAACATCACTGAGCTGAGAAGAAACAGAATTCAATGAAAGCTACTTAGAAATATTCCATCTCAACTAGCCTGCACTACCTTAACCATTTGCAGACTATCAGAACCCACACACAGGCAACACAGCAAACACCTTGGCCTACAAAAATATGCTAAATTAAATGGTGCACCAGTTAAAGCACACCTTAAGGAAAACGGGATCATACCTAAACGCGTAATAGTCAATAGCTTCACATGATACGGTGGCCATGCAAACGCAGCTATTTTTCCCAGTCGCTAACTGAAAACTCAGGTCTGTGGACACTCACCGTCTCCTCGGCTGCAGTTGCTGCACATGTGCTTGATCTGTCCGGAGATCATGAAGGGCGTGTTGTTGTTATTGGGCGCCGCAGGCTGCGGCAGCCGCGCTCGCGCCACGCTGAATGCTCTCCGTTTACGCGGCTTCTCCGCCGACATGAGTGCAGAAGATGGCTCCTCTCGAGCTCGGGCTGCGAGCCGGGACGCCATGGAGGCCGTTAACGGAACTCTGTGCCCCAGATCTGGGTCTAAAAATGTGCAGCCGCTGCCACAGACTGAGCGGAGAGGCCGCGGGACAGCAGCCCGCGCTCCATGCCGAAGATCCGCCCGCCCGTCCCAGCGGCTGAACCTCCGACGTCAGCCACGAAAATGGTCCACCTGCGTACGATGGAGTAGGGTATATACACACTCACACGCCCTCTGATATGAGCCACGTTTCTCGTTTTACTTTCTTTCAAATCCAGCTCCGTGTCGACGCCATTAGCACTGTGTCATATTTCTAGACTTTATTATTATCCGCGGATTAATTTTCTTTAAATATGTTTGTATGTAGCGGTGGCTGCATAACGGTAGCATCACTAGCACCCCTTCGAAATCATCATAGTGACGTTGAGCTGTATGCCGTGCTTAAGACGCGGACTGGATTGTACAAGCGGAACGAAGTCGGAGAACATTCAGTCATCCTGAAGTGAAACTGCCCTCCTCTCCTGTGATCCAGCTCCCCTTTGTACTACAAGCCCAGGCTTACGGCAGTATCTTTTGAAAATATTTATGTGGTACCGTTGGTCCAACAGAGCTTGTGTATTAGTCACACCACTAGGCTTTTGAATTAAGTTAAATACTGATGTCGTAAATATTATTTTAAGTAAACATCATCCAAACAACGTGTTCTCTTTGTCTGCATGCCTTTGAAATACATTTTGTGCTAGGCTAATTGTATGATTTGTAACAACTGTGTGGCACTTCATTAGCCTCTTGAAAGATCTAAACGAAGAACTGAGGCCTGTAGTTAGGGATAGGCGGCACCGCACATTTTCTTTTCTATTCGATACTAAATAATACGCAGGGTAATATCCCAATACAAATACTGATATGAAGACTTTTAAAAGTCTTGGTATAACGGCCAAATAACAGTTTAGCAAAGTTAAATAACTGATTAATTATATCAAGTAAACATTCAGTCTCTGCGATACTCTCAAAAGTCAGACAGACTGAAAAACAGCCCCCTCCAGTCCAGTGAAATATTAAACCATAAACCCAGTACCCTCCCTTAACTCCCTTCATAAGTTCAGTTCATGACATGGTAAGCAACTTGTCATTAACTTATTATATAGCGTTGCTGCCTATTTATTATGACTCGGATATTATCTGAAACCACGTTGCTGTATATCTAGTTTACAGCTGTTGCCTGCAGCAAATTCTTACAAATAAAAGTATACTAAACTAAGAGTGAACATACAGATAATGTGTATATAGAACAGACATATAGACATGAACATTGACATCAGCTTATGGATTATGTAATTATACATGATAAATGTTTTAGTCCGGACCCCCCATCATGAATCTTACAAAATGTACTGAATCCAAAGCAGAATGTAGTGTAATGATGTTGGCTTCAACAACAGTACTGAATTCTAGTGATGTCACTGAATATCAGTGAGAGTCCTGGTCACTGTATGATACTGAAAGCATACTTTGGTGTCAAATCAAACATGTTTGCTGTCTGAAGTTTGCTTCTTTAGTTTTGCATTGGAGCTATGAGGTTGATGTAGGAAAAAAGTAGTGGAAGCTCATACCCTACCAATTAGAATTGTGCACTCTACATATCTGAATCATCACAAACTTGTCTCAAACTTCAGTGAGTTGTTAAGTAACCTCAAACAGACACACAAATATGGTTTCTGACACTGTAAGACATACTGTACTCTATAAAAATAGAGATAGTACAAAGACAACATATCAAATGTTGAAACTGAGAAATTGTATTGTTTTTTGAATTTTGAATTTAATGCCAGCAACACATTTCAAAAAAAGTTGGGACAGAAGCAACATGGCAAAGCTGTGTAATGTGTGGAGCATCTCACAGCTAAGAGCATCCCAGTGAGTCTTTCACAAGTAAAGATAGAGAGGGGTTCACCACTGTGTGAAAGACTATGGGGGCAAATAGTGCAACTATTCAAAAGAAACCTTTTTCAACATAAAACAGCTAAAAACTTGGGATTATGCATCTATGATACATAATATCATTAAAAGATTGAGAGAATCTGGAGAAATCTCTGTATGTAAGGGACAAGGTCAAAACCAATATTGACTGGCCATGATCTTCAGGTTCTCAGGCAGCACTGTATTAAAACCAGACATGATTCTGTAATGGAAATCACTGCATGTGTTCAGGAACACTCCTGAAAACCACTGTCTGTAAACACAGCTTGTCACTGCATCTACAAACGCAAGTCAACCTTTAACAAGCCTGCAGGCCTAAATTTTTATTACACACTTCTATAACTTAAGAATAGCTCTATTAATTTGCATTGAAGTCCCTATAGTTACTGATTAATAGGCCTTTGAATGAAATAAACCTAGAATGTTAAGGGGTTAAAACTCTACCATGCAAAAAAGAAGCTACATAAACAGGACCCAAAATGCCACTGCTTTCTCTGGGCCTCCTTAAAGATGTACTGAGGTGAAGTGGAAAAGTGTCCAGTGGTCTGATGTACCAAAATTTTAATTTTTTTCTGGAAAATGACAATGTCTTTTTTCAGGGAAGGCCTTGCTTATTTCAGCAAGACAATGCCAAACCACAGTCTGCATGTATTACAGCATGGCTCCGTAGTAAAAGAGTCCAGGTGCCACAGTTTGCCTGCCTGTCGTCCAGACCGGTCACCCACTGACAACATTTGGCACATTTTGAAATGAAAAATATGACAAAGGAGACCCCGAACTGTTGAGCAGCTGAAATTCTGTATCAAGCAAGAATGGGAAAACATTTTACTTTCAAAACTACCACAATTGGTCTTCCAATTTCCAGTTTCCAAACGCTTACAGAGTTTTGATAAAAAGATGATGCAACACAGTGGTAAACATGCCCCTGTCCCAACCTTTTAAAACATGTTGCATTAAATTTAAAATGGGTATATATTCTTTAAAAAACAATAACATTTCTCAGTTTCAACATTTGATATGTTGTCTTTGTACAAGTTTCACGTAAATATAGGGTTTAAATGATTTGCACATCATTGCATTCTGTTTTTATTCACATCTTGCACAGCACCCCAACTCTTTTGGAAACAGGGTTGCACATAACTAATAGTATCATGCAGTGACATAAAGTGGCAGAAACCACTCTATTTCCATTATTACTTCCAGCTTTCATTACTTCTTAGGTATTTTTTAGCCTCATAGCTCCAGAACAAAACTAGAGATTGACTAGACCAGCAACAAGTAGAAAATTGGGTCAAGCACAAACTCAAGCACATCCATGGACTGTTGTCTAAAGTGCTCTCTCTCTCTCTCACTCGCTCTCTTTTTTTTCACTATCACTCCAAAGCCCCAACAGATGGCACTCTCCCATAACAATCCACAGCCTGTTTAAACCAGTATGAACTGTAAGTATTTAATTTTGTGTAGATAATATTGCAGCAGCTTATATATATTGAATATATATATTGAATGCTGTCCCTGAATGTGTGTGTACAAGTCTGTTTATGTTTCAGAAGTGTGCCTCCACTGATGTCTTCTTAGTAAAGCTTAGTATTCAGGGGGAAAATATATGTCATCCTTGCTGATGACCAGTACATAGGAACGGTACAAGATTCCAGGCAATGGCCATTTCAAAAACAAAAACAATGGAAATAAGATATGCCTCAGGTGCAGCATCCTATCTATGCCTCAAGATGCAACACAGAATAGCTTTTTTGACAGAGCAGGGCAGCTGTAAAATGGTGAAACCTTTGATGTCAGCCAAAAAACTTTTTATACCATCACATGGTACTTTGTCTAAAGCATTCAAAGTAGTCATGAAAATAGCACAGTGCAGCACTTCTGTTTTTATTGTTGAATTAGGACAGATCAGATTTCATAAAAAAATCATTAAAGGCATGCAGCCCTGTTGCTCAGCTAAACCCTTGTCTGCAGTCTTAAAGCCTTCTGATGCTTAAGAACCCAGGTGCTTTCTGTGTTTATATTTATACTCAGTACACTGTGCTTTAAGGGCGTACAGTTCACATTTTAATGCATATGATATGGTAGTTTACATTTATTATATAACTTTGAAAATTAATACTTAATAATAACACATTCTTTCAAGAATAAGAAAATATAGCTCCTTTCAGCCAGTAATTAATAGTTATTCCTCTTATTGTGGCATAAATTATTATTATTCACTAAAAGTAATTTTGTGGTGCATGTTATGATTGAAAAAAAAAAAAACAGTAGCAACATGGCTGCTCTGTGACACAACACTCAGAGGTCAGGGGTTATTGGCCTGATATATTTGAATGCAAGTAAATGTTTCGAGCTTGGCACGATAACAGCACTCTACTGTTTAATCCACATTCTTATGTAACACCCATCCCTCACACACACACATACACACGCAGTGTGAACCAGTGATTAGCTCCCCTTTAGCATACCTCTGGCACACACACAGTCAAACACACACACGCACACGCAAATTACTCACACCATCCGGGATTATCTCTCTCTCTCACTCTATCTCCCTCTCTCTCTCTCGCGCACACACAGATGCAGGGCTCAGTATGAACAGAGGCTTCCTGCAAGCTCTCTGCGTGTGTATCAGAACTCCTACCTGAGACTGTCTGTCCTCATTGGCCTCAACGTACACACACATGCGCAAACACACACACAAACAACTTGCTATGCAGCACCAAGCATAGTACTAAATATTGATCTACCACTGACAAATCTATAAAAAAACATTTCTAATACCCTCTCAAAGGATAAACACATATAAACATGGGTGCCCACACAGACACAGAGGCATTCAACTCTCATTCAATTTTTTATTACATTTTCAGTCAAAATAGCTATTAAACACAAGTTATTTATTTTTCAAAAGATATTTCTGAGGAGATCAGATATAAGATAATCCACTTGCATAAGAAACGAGAAAGTCAGCATAAAATAAGTGAAAAAACACGAGATTAGACAATTATATTGTCAATTTCACACCAAAAAGTCTGGTAGACCACCAAAACAGCTCTTAATGCTTAAACACTTCCTAAAGCTTTGATATTTGACAGAAAATCAAGCTCCACTCTTGCTTCAGATCTGAAAAAAAGCCACAGGTGTTTCTGTCCATACTTCCACTGTCAGAAGACAACTATGGATCTGAAAGGATGTGCAACTGTCAAGAATCTGTTATTGAGAAAACGAAATGGTCAAAAATAAAGAGCATTTACTCTAGAACCCCTAAAGTGGATATATGAGATGTGGAGTGAGGATTTATGGATTTTATTGTGTCTAAATTTTGATTACTTGGATTGCGAGAAGCAGAAAATAAAGACTGAACTTTAGGTATTTACAAGAAGTATGGAAACATATCCGTGCAGATTTCTTTTGAAAAACATAAAGCAAGCCTCCCAAAAAGAATTACAGCTGTAATAAAGGCTAA